AGGCAACATATTCCTCACGCACTCTGGCCTATTTACTGAGTGACCCAGCACCTCAAAAGGTGCCGGTTTGTTTTTTTTTTTTGCGGTATGTGGGCCTCTCACTGTTGCGGCCTCTCCCGTTGCGGAGCACAGGCTCCAGATGCGCTTGTCAGCGGCCATTGCTCATGGGCCTAGCCGCTCCACGGCAATGTGGGATCTTCCCGGACCTGGGCACGAACCTGTGTCCCCTCCATCGGCAGGCGGACTCTCAACCACTGCGCCACCAGGGAAGCCCGAGGTGCTGGTTTTGAGTGAGGCCCAGAACAAGAGAATGCTCTGCAGCAGGCCCAAACTGCCATACAAGTTGTGGCCACATGATCCAGCAGATCTAATGGTGCTAGATCTGTCAGTGACATATAGGGATGCTATTTGGAGCCTTTCGCAGGCTCCTATAGGTGAATCACAGCACAGGTCCTTAGGATTTTGGGGAAAAACAAAATCTACCATGCCCTACTGATAACTACTCTCCTTTTGAGAAATAGCTCTTAGCTTGCTTCTGGGTTTTAGTAGAAACAACGCTTAACCACTGGCCATGAAGTAACCATGCAACCTGAGCTGCCGGTCATGAACCAGGTGTTATCTGACCCACCACACATAAAGATGGGCAAGCGCAGTGGCACTCCATCATCAAGTGAACGTGGTTATATACGAGACTGGGCCCAATCGGGTCCTGAAGGCACAACTGACATGAAGAAGTGGCCCAAATGTCCGTGGTTTCTCACTCCTGTTATACTACCTTCTCTATTCCTATCCTGCAGCATGGCCTCATGGGGAGTTCCTTATGATCAGCTGACACAGGAAGAGAAGACTTAACCATGGTTTACAGATTATTGGATTACAATAGGTAGGCACCATACAAAAGTGGACAACTGTGGTACTAGAGCCCCCTTCTGGAACATTCCTGAAGGACAGTGGCGAAGGGAAATACTCCCAGTGTGAAGAACTTCAGAAAGTGCACCTGGTTGTTCACTTTGCTTGGAAGGAGAAATGGCCATATGTGCAATTATATACCAATTCACGAGCTGTGACCAACACTTAGCTGATGGTCAGAGACTTAGAAGGAACATGATTGGAAAACTAGTGACAAGGAAATTTAAGGAAGAGGTATGTGATAGGCCTCTCTGAATGGGCAAAAAAATAAAAGATATTTTTGTCCCACTGTATGCTCACCAAAGTTTAACCTTGGAAGATTTTTATAATTAAGTGGATAGGATGACCCATTCCATGTACACCAGCCAGCCTTTCCTCAGCCAACCCGGTCACCATCCAATGGAGAACAGTGGCAGGGATGGGGGTTATGTATGTGCTCAGCAACATGAACCTCCACTCACCAAAGCCCACCTGCTACGGCCACTGCTGAGTGCCTGATGTGCCAGCACCAGAGACCAACACTGAGCGCCCGATATGCCACCATTTCCTGGGGGTGATCAGCCAGCTATGGAATGACAAGTTGATAACATGGGACTGCTTCCCTTCTGGAAAGGGCAGTGTCTTATTCTTACTGGAACAAACACTCTGGATATGAATTTGCCTACAATGTTTCTGCCAAAACTACCATCCATGGACTTATAAAACACCTTAGCCACCATCATGGCATTCCACATAGCATTGCTTCTGATCAAGGAACTCATTTCACAGCAAATAAAGTACAGCAATGGGCTCATGCTCATAGAATTCACTAGTCTTACCATGTTCCCTACCATTTAGAAGTAGCTGCCTTGATAAAACAGTGGAATGGCCTTTTGAAGACAATTACAGTGCTGGCTAGATGTGAATACCTTGCAGGGCTGGGGCAAGGTTCTGTAGAAGGCTGTATATGCTCTGAATCAGCATCCAATATATGATGCTGTTTCTCCAATAGCCAGGATTCACAGGTCCATGAAGGTGTGAAAATGGAAGTAGTACCCTCTCACTATTACCCCTAATGACCCACTAACAAAATTTTTGCCTCCTGTTCCTGAGATCTGTTGGCACAGAGGTCTTAGTTACAGAGAGAAGAATGATTCTACTGGGAGACACAACAATTCCATTGAACTGGATGGTAAGACTCCTGCCCAGCCATTTTGGGCTCCTCATGCTTCTGGATCAACAGGCAAAGAAGTACATTATGGTGCTGGCTAGAATGATTGATCCTGACTGCAAAGCAGAAATTAGGGAAGAGTATGTCTAGAATATAGGTGATCTCTTAGTATTACCATGTCCAGTGATTAAGATCAATGGGAAATTACAAGTCAATCCAGGTAGGCCTAGACTCTTCAAGAATGAAGCTTTAGGTCATCCCAGCATGTAAAGAACACAACCAACTGAGGTGCTTGCCGAAGACAAAGGGAATACAGGATGGGTTAGAAGATGGTAGTGATAAATACCAGATATAACCACGTGATCAGTTACAGAAATGAGGACTGTCATGAATATCTTATTTTGTTAAGAATATGGGTGTATGCACACATATATACACACACATATAACAAATATCTTTGTTTCCTTCTCACTCTTATTCCCTTAACATGTAACATAAGATACATTAACTTTATATCATTACTTAAATCTTAATATTTAAGTATTATTAATTTTACAACATACTATTTAATTTACAGGGAATTAAGGAGAAGAACAAACGCCACTCAAGGAGATTATCTCCTCCTCTGAGAAAGAAGTTAATGAGTAATTGGTGGTACTCAGCCTCGTTGTATCATGTTAGGTGGAATTTTGACCTTGTTATTGGCTTTATTTAGAGATTAAGTAAGGGTTTAAGGAGCTACATATGGATGCCAAGTTGACCTGTGATGGCTAATTTTACATATCAACTTGACTGGGCCACGGAGTGTTCAGATATTTGGACCAACATTATTCTAGGTGTTTCTGGATGAGATTAACATTTGAATAGGTAGACTGAATATAGCTGACTGCCCTCCCTTATGTGGGTGGGTCTCATCCAAACATTTGAATAGAACAAAAGGCAGACCCTCCTGCAAGAAAGAAGGAATTCCACCTGCCTGACTGCCTAGAGCTGGGACATTGTTCTTTTCCTGCCTTCAGACTTGAACTGAAACAATGGCTCTTCTTGGGTGTCAAGTCTGTCTGCTTTCAGACTGGTACTCATATACTGTTGGCTCTCCAGGTTCTCAGGCCTTCAGACTCAAGGTTGGAACTACACCAACTCTCCTGGATTTCCAGCTTGCTTGACTGCAGATCTTGGGACTTCTTGGCCTCCATAATCACATGAGCCAATTCTTTATAATAAATCTCAATCTCACCCACCTGCCCCCTTCACTCTTTCTCTATATAGACACAAACACAATTGTCTCTCTGTAGAGCACTGACTACCACACTCTCCAACTAGCTAACCAGATCATCGAAACCCACAACAAGTGTCACCTGCACTGTGACCTCTTGCCTAATGCCCTAAGCTAGAATATGTGCCTCTTTTTTCTGCTACCATACATAATACTCCCATTAATAACACTGCCATCATAATATCACTAATTTGTGTACCTACTCTGTGGAATATAAAATCCTTGATGACAGCAACATAGCTAATATGACTTCACATCACCAACAGCAACACAAACCCTAGCATATAGCAGGTTCTGAGTAAATATATATTAAACCATTTTAAAAAATCTTCTTGAGTTATGTTAGATAATATTCAATTTAGGAAAAACTATTGCTAGAGAACAAGAGCATATCGTTGCTATCTGTCAATGAAGGATTCCAGCATGAAGAAGCTAATACAGGGCTGCTTTACCTGACGGCAGAAATGCTCTCATCTCATCCTTCAGGGGACCAAGAAGACAGCAACAAATCAAGCTTGGGCCAAGGTTATGTTTCTCATTTGCAAGAAAGCTCTTTAAAAACCATTACTATTTGTAATTACTTAGAGGTATAAGTCAGGATTATCTCCAAAATAAAATACACAAATAACTGGATACTGAGACAACTGTCAACAATAACGCCCGATGAAATTCTGTGTTCAATAAAACAGCATCATGATTCTGTTTAATGGCTTATGTTTTATTTTAGCTTCAAAGATACATTTATACTGATAAAATGACATTGTTGTCTATTTTGTAAGATGGGTCTATCTTTGAGTTTTGATTTTAAAAAGAGAGGTTTTGCTTAAAAGGTTTGAAAACTCCCGGTATAATAAAAAGAGATTTAGTTTTATAGTTGGACAGAGAGCTAAGTCTGAAACTTACTCTTTTACTTAATAGTTGTGGGTTTTTAGGCAAGTTACTTAATCTCTTGGAGAGATTGTTTTTTCACCTTGTCAAATCCAGACAGTAACAGTAAATACTGTGGCACATTATTAGGAGAGTAAAATAGCATACTTTAAACACTTAGTATACTTCCTGGCATACAGTAAGCATTTAATATCTGACCTATTAGTATCACTAATAACTCATCACCTGAAATGATTAGAAAATGAAGGCCTAGGAAGAAAATGAGGGAATGTGGGAGAGCATCACAATTTCAGGCATGTATATATAGTTTGAAAAAGCAGCTTGAGGATTCTGAATTCTAGAAGCTGTAACACCTACAAAGTTAGGTGTCAAAATATCTCAGTTTAAAACAAATGGCAGAGCGTATGAATCATAAATACTATACTAACTGGAAAGAGTAACTCAGGGGTATGGAAAAACAGCGTCTAAAGATTTCATAATCTTTGTTACCATCAAATCCATTGTTAAGCATGTCTAAATAGGTATTTCCTACTAAAATTTAAGGCATGGTGTTAATACTATAAGGAATCCTAATTTTTCAGATAGCATTCAATTAATAATATTCTGCTGAATTTGTTGAAAATTCATTTCTTGGCTTACATTTTGATTAAAAAATGTATTAACTGGGTTCAGTTATTGAAACTTCTATGAAATACTGTGATAGGAGAACCAGCATATGACACAATTTATCAAATACCATGTGACAAAGTGAACATGAAGATTAAAATAAGCTGATACCTGCTTGGAAAGCGCTTTCATGTGACCTACGCTTCCCCGGCAGTATGCTTCAAGGATGACACCAAATTGTACTGAAACAGCAGGAATGTGCACTTCTGACCTGCAGAAAGTTAATATTATGAAGATTTATCAAACACTTCAGGTCACCAAATAAAAATACTGACTTCTTTATTCTATTATGAAATTAACTTATTATGCTAATCAAAGAAAGGGAGAACACATCATCTTGTACCAATCACAGATGGGATGCTCAACTTTTAATTCTTTAAACACTACAGTTCAAAAAGATATGTGATTTTATCATTAGTTAATTGTTTACTCCAAGAAATCCAAAGTTATCACATCTTATTTGTTTTTTTGGAGTGAAATGGTAATACTACCAATTTACAGACAACTCAGATGAAACACAGATCTGACTCAGATCACACAATTGACTAATCCCTCAATTAGCTTCTATGTGATTTTTTTTTCACTTAAAGAATGGTGTACACATTTGAAAAAGGAAGGAATACCTTATTTTGTTATTCCTTGAGGGATTTAAAAATAAGAAGATTGAAATGGATGAGAAAAGAAGACAAGTTAAAAACAAGAAAGGAAAAACTATAGATAATAAAGAAATCAAGATTCAGAAATATAACTCCTAAAATTAACATCAAAATACTATACAGCTTATTTTCCTTAAGAAGCTTAGCCAAAAAGGAGAAAAGTTATTTTTTTCTGTTAATGATTAGCTTCAGTACTCTGAAGTCCAGATGGAAAAAAATCACAAATGTCCAAGTATAGAGTGAGAAATGAGGAATTGACAACCTTCCTAGGCAACAAAAGAACTTTAGTTCTCTTTCCCTATTTTACTCCTATATAAACTTGGTTTAATAAGATTCATGTATTTCTGAAAATGACCTAGTTAATAAAGAAGCAAAAAATAAAGTTGCTGTTGTTATAGGAAAACTTTAAAATCTTTATTTATGCAATAGTAGCAATGATGATACCACTACCCAATAAGTACGTTTTTAGTCCAAAAATATTAACACAATAAGTAAACTTTACTGGAAAATAGCAATACATTATAATTATTATTAATTATAATAATTATCATAATAAAAATTATTAATTTCAGTTATAAATCAAGGAGGCATAAAGGGACACTTATCTCAGTTACTTTGCCAAATCATGAAAATTGAGAGTCTGGGTATCAAGAAATAGGAGTAGATACCAAGAAAGCATAAATGTTATGGATGACTCAGAAACAACTAAAGCAGCTAGACTGTTTTACTACATGCCCTGTATTATGCTGGTTAATATTTACAAAAGCACGTGGTGGATTTGATTTGAAATATAAAAGACTTACCTAAGGTGCCAAAATAAAAACTGCCCTATCCTCCGATTAGCAAGTGCTCTTTCTAGTAGGAATCTAGAGAGGGCACAATCAAGAAAAGGCTCATATTTTAAAACTTGCACCAACTGTAAAAGATACTGAGAGAGTTCTTCATCACTGAAAAAAACAAAAGACACAGTAAGTCACTCAACAATCGGTGCTGGAAAAAGACCCATTCCTATCAAACTTATCAAATACTAACTTACTGAAACACAATGGTTCTTTTGGGTCAAGCTTGGGGCACACTTACATTCACTGTTTCACTGTTACAATAACATAAGAAAAGCTGAGAATTTCTGATGGGCAGAAGAGTGAAAAGGAGCAAAGAACAGATATATGGGGCATTTTTATTAAGTTAACTAGGTTTATACAACTGATGATTGTATTTATAATCAGCCGAGAGTTATAATAAAATTAGGTAATAATTTTCTGTTCATGCTGAAAAAGTTACATGCTCAGTCAACCAACCAGCTTTTTAAAATACAAATTCCATCAGTACTTCAACTTATTTTCCTTTCATATCATTGGGATTAAGTAATTTTTGCTCCCAGAAAATGAATGAAACAATTAAAATCTTCAAATAGTCTGAAGGATAAAGAGTGTATTTGTAAGTGGGAATGGATTCATTGAATTGACATAATATTGTAATTAAATGAGCTGAATTAATTAATGTTCGGGCTCTCTATTTTGTATCCATCTCCAAACCATTCACATGTAAACACACTCCCATCAAAGGCAATTCCAGTAGTCAGGTAAGATATGTATCCCAAGTCCTCTACTTGGTGACTATAGTCTTGGACAATAAATGGTTAAGCAGTAGTCTAAAGCAGACCTGGGAATGAAACCTACGAGACTGACCTGGGACTGAAACCTAGGATACTATACACCAGAAAAAAACCTCATACCAGAAAATTTAACATAGGAAGATACATTAGAATTACCTATATGGAACATGGGGATCACAGCAATCTCCTCCTAGGGATCAATATATTTAAGAAAAACACTTAGCTCAGTCCAAGGGGGGCCAGGTAGCCCCTCCCCTTCAGATCTCCAATGCAAACAGAGAGACTGAGGAACAACTGGGAGCCTCATTTTTTAAAACTATCTATAAAACCATCTTAAGTTTATTGTAAAATCCATGCCCACTATAAAATCTGTAAGTAGTGTAAAAGATAGAAGTATAGAAAAGAAGAGGCTTCCTCTTTCCTTACACTTCTTATTTCACTCCCCCAAAATAACCACTGTTAAAGAGTTTGTATAATTTGTTTTGGAGAGCACACAATTTAAAACATAAATGATTTATTTTAAAAAGAAGAAAAGGAAAAAAAATGTATCACAGTATCCATAATTTTCTGAGAACTTTTGTTTTTCAAATGACCATATGGTATAACCCTTCATTTTGAGGCTAGTAAGAAAATGGATAAACCTGAAAATGCCCATTGTCTAAGACTGTCTCAATAATGACATTTCATCCAAGAAATCCCATAGATTCTCACACATGTACTACCCTAAAGAGACTGTACAAGCATGTTCACTGTAGCATTGTTTGTTAAGAGGGAAATTTTGAGAAAATTTAAAATGTTCCTCAATAGAGAAATGGAGTAAATACGATACATCTCTATGAAAGAATATTACACAGTAGTGAAAGGAATAAACTACATTTATATGTAACAGGAGAGACTGACCTCAAAAACCTAATGTTGAATAAAGGAAAAAAACTATGTAAAACAATATATATGGCAAGACACAGTTGTGTGATTTTTAAATGTACAATATTATCCCATATCTGTATTTTATAGATATATAAATGTGGTAAAAACAGAAAATTATGCTATAGAAGGATATACACCAAATTCGTGATACAGTTGCCTCTGGGAAGTGAAAATAATCAGGATTGAGTAAGGAAACTATGAGGACTTTAGCTGTAACGTTAATTGCTTTAAAATACAAACTTAGGGCTTCCCTGGTGGCACAGTGGTTAAGAATCTGTTTGCCAATGTGGGGGACACAGGTTTGAGCCCTGGTCCGGGAAGATCGCACGTGCCGCGGAGCAACTAAGCCCGTGGGCAACAACTACTGAGCCTGTGCTCTAGAGCCCGCGAGCCACAGCTACTGAGCCTGCATGCCACAACTACTGAAGCCTGCGTGCCTAGAGCCCGTTCTCTGCAACAAGAGAAGCCACCGTAATGAGAAGCCCGTGCACCGCAGTGAAGAGTAGCCCCCGCTTGCTGCAACTAGAGAAAGCCTGCACGCAGCAACGAAGACCCAAGGCAGCCAAAGAATAAAAAAAAAATTTTTTTAAGTTTAAAAAAATAAATAAAATACAAACTTAAAAAAAGTCAAAAATATTAACATTTTAAAAAAGAAAAAATATTAACATTCCTTCATTGTGGGTAGTGGACAGAAAAGAGTTAACAGAGGAGCAAGCCTGACTGCTATCCTTTGATAAAGCATGCTTACAAGGTTAGCCCTTGACTGGCATCTGGGAATGTAGATTTCGGAAGGCTTCCCACCACCTTAACAGATAAGAGTGGCTTACTATGCCTAAACTGTTTTTGCAAACAGTATGTTTTATGCTCAACACGCATTTTTGTTCCGGGAGTCTAGAATTTGGGAATATACTAGGCAGAGGGTGCTCATGTGACTAGCACTGCCCTCCCCGCAAAAAAAACCCTGGCCACCAAGTCTCTAACAAGCTTCCCTGGTAGACAGTATTCAGGTGTGCTGTCACAACTTGTTGCTGGGGAATTAAGTGTATTCAGTGTGATTCCACTGGGAAAGAACTCTTAGAAGCATCTCCCTGGTTTCCTCCAGACTTTGCCCCATGAATTTTTTTCCTTTGCCAGTTCTGCTCTGTATACTTTTTCTGTAATAAATCTTAGCCAAGAGTGACGATATGCTGAGTCCTATGAGTCCTCCTAGTAAGTCATGGAACCTGAGGGTGTTCTTGGGGACCACCCGATGCAGTTTTTGCTTGCTTTTTTGTTTTACCATATAAAGTGGGGACTTCCCTGGTGGCCCAGTGGTTAAGACTCCACGCTTCCACTGCAGAGGGCACAGGTTCGATCCCTGGTCAGGAACTAAGATCCTGCATGCCAGGCAGCCACGCCAAAAAAAAAAAAAAAAACAGAGAGAGAGAGAGCACGAGAGAGTCGGGGAGGATCGGAGGAGATAGGGCGGGGTGGGGGGAGAAAACAGGAGAGACTGTGGGAGAGAGTGGGAGGAAGGAGGGAACAGATGCTTTGAACTCGGTCATTCCTATCCTTTTCCTTTCTTACAAGACATTCAAGCAGACATCAACTTCTCTTCCCACCCACAAGTTATTCCTTGACCCAAAAAAGCCTCCTGCAGGAGATACCTCATCTGTTGCAGACAGCCCACAGCATATTCTCGCACGTACTGATCTGGATAGTTGAAATCTAGAAGCTCCAGGGCCTCCCGGGGGGGCAGTTTAGGCCAAATCTGAAGTAGTGCCTGAAGCTGTTTAAAAATTGAAAGTGGTTCAGAAATTATAGGAGAGAAAAGTAATCTATTTTTCCTTGGTACACAGGAGCAGAGATGGGTCAAAAGAAAGGAGAAGCATACTTGCAGTTACTAAGGCCTCAAAAATCCACTATTGTTAATACAGATTAATAAAGATTGTCTCTGTTGAAAGATTCTATCGGTAAGCAAGTGAAAAAGCTATTATGTACTTACCTGGAGGTAGAATGATACATTGAATATATGAATTCTACAATCATTAAATAATTTTTTAAAGGAAAAAAAGATGGGGGCAGAAGGTAGGGAGGAAGGGGAGAGGGGAAACAGCAGAAGGAAATAATCAAGAAATACTTAAAGGTCAAATTCAAAGTACAAATATAAGCTGCAAGGCTCAAACTAATGAAAGGCAATTTACATATAAAAAAGTGCATTATAACAACATAAAATTATCTTGAGGAAGTTTACTTTTAGTTCTTAATATTTTTAAGAGTATCACTTTACAAAACTTTATTGACTATAACATGTTTAAATCCATTAAATCACAGTACCTAGTTATTTTATATACACAAGATAAATACAGCCAGTTTCCCATTTACAGATGCCGCTTAGAAATGACCTAGATATAGGATAAAAAAGAGTCCCATGGGTGAATGAGCTGGGAGTACTGGTGAAGGGTGGGTTCAGATGGACATGGCCACATCTTTGGAAACCCTAGTTCCAGAAAACCCAAATCTCTAGAAAGGATTCTTACCTGCCTCCCATCAGAACACAGTGAGACTCATCAGGGTTGATTTTTTTTTAAGGGTCGATTTTGGAAAGAGTCCCTTCCTCCTCATGGTTTTGATATGTTTATAGCTTACATCCTTATCAGGGATGGTAAGTGGGAAGAAAAGTGGTTATGGAGGAAAGCAAAACATTTTTTGATAATTATGATTTGTGGCCCTCCAAAGCTCAACCTTATCGGACAAAATCTTATTCCTTAATATCTGATTTATATTGTTGGGTTTTCTTGGGTATCACTTATGTAGCACTGACATCAAGTCCAAGGAAGAAACACAAAATGTATGCAAGATGAGAGCTACAAGAATATGGCAAATAGATGGCAATGGTTGGAGGCTTTTCTCTCAGTTGCCTGCTCAATCTCAAAGTCATGTTGCAAGAGATGGCTTGCAGTACCTGCTGCCTGCCTTGTCGTTTGTCACTTGAGCATCTGTGAGAGACTTGGGCTTTGAAAATTACATAAAAATAATTTACATTTTATTATTTTAATTCTCCAAATTATTCAACCTCTCATTAACTTGTCAAGTGCTCAAATAAGTCAATATCTAAATGAGTATCTAGCAGCTAAGTTAAAAGGTATCTTCTCATATGAAGCAAATTTAAAAGTTAAGTTCTCTAATGATATAATTTTTTAAAAATTAATTTTCAATTATTTTACATTAGCAGAAAAAATAACCCTTTTGAGTAATTTTTAAAAGTTGACTGCATTGCCTTTCTAATATATATTTACATAAATTACTAACATGGATATGAAATGTGATACATTACAATTTACATAATGAATTACATCAGTTATTCGACAAATACAACAAAATGTTAGTTTTTACATTTTAACCTTTACCTTAAATTTTGGTTCAATTATTCTTAAACTTGTACTGAATAAAAAGATTGTCTTATACTTGCTCTTTTAATATACAAAGTACATATATGCATACACTACATAGGCAGACATACACTTATCTGTGGTATCAAAATCCCATGGGGATGGGGCTATTGGGGAAAATATGTAAAAAGGGTCCTAAGGAGTGTAATAATTGAACAAAAGTTTGAGCAATACTGCTTTAAAGATATGAAACACCTACATCACCCCACATTTTATCACTGATGGGGCTCCCTGCCCACTTTCCCCAAGGCCCTAATGGACTAGTAGTCCTCCTTATGGATAAAGGGGACTGTTTTTTGAGGGTCTGAAATGATAGCTAAAAAAAACCTCTTAGCATCCCCAGTTAACACATGGAATATACACTGCTCCACAAAAACAATACTGTAAAGGATAGATAATGTTATGTAATACCAGAGGTTCAACTATGGTATAGGTTAAAAACAGCCCTACTATTGAAAAGTTATAACTTTTGCTAAGATTATTAAATTATTAAATCAATAATATAAACATAAAATTAAATAAATTACCAAAACTCATCGCTTCAGTTTGGAGAAAGCTATGGAAGCAAACAGGGAAGGGAAATCTGACTCAGCCATATAAATAGTGAAAGCAGTGCTGACTAATTAATTACCTGTCTGCTGCAAGAGACTATTGAAACCCCTTCTGCAGTATGCCAACAGAATGTTTTCCTGTGGATTAATGGGAGGCTACCCTTCTATAGAATTTTCACCTGTGGCATATGCCTGCAGAATATGTGCACCAGGTTCTGACTCTCCACTTCTCTTAGGTAGTCAATTCATTGAAAATACAGTTTATATTCTCTTATACCAGTTCAGTGTAACTGGCAATGGGATAGGGCTGGGGGAGAAGCCAAAACACATTACTTTTTATTTCGTTGATTTTCTTTTCTAGACTACTAAAAGGGGGGATTAGGATCATGAAATTCATGCCTTCCTATACTTCCTTACACACATTTAGGTTTTTCTATAAGAATATTAAGTTACACTACAGACTTTCTTCTACCACAATGGAGGAAGTTAAGTTATATCTGAAAACAATGCTTTAGATTTACTCATGGAAATGAGACAAGTATACTAAACTAAACTCCTCAGTGTAAAAATTTCTGCCCCTGGGGTTCGAATAAAGAAATATTAAGCCTGAATTGTCTCATTCCATTTTCTGACAGTTGACATACAAAACCTCCCTCTCAGATATCTTTAGAGTACAGCAAGAAATTTTTTTCTATTCTAATTATATGTAAAATAATAATATGATGCATTTCTTGGATAGGCACTTAGAAATGAATGCTATTCATTGAGAAGTAGGCAAATGTGCCAGGTAAAAAATGCTTATATTCAACCATTAGGGGGGGTTCACAGAAAACTAACCTTGAATTTAAATAAATAAACGGTTAGAAGACAACTGTGTCAGAACAATTAAAATCTATCTAGCTGACAAAAATAGTTCCTTTTCAGAGTAAGTAATTTTCACGTGGTCTGTGTAACCAGTTTAAACAAGGCACATCATATAATTTTGTAACATGATTCCAAAAAAATTGTTAGACCCTAGGAATAAATTCAAAAGAAATACTTTCTAAATTTAATTTACAAAGTAAAACAATAAAATCAAAGATTTAAAAAAAATATACCTGATTAAAAGAAATATACATTTCTTGACTAAATTTTTAAAGTCATTATAGATTTAATAAGACAAGAAAAATTTTTAAAAGATCGGTTGAATTCAAGTAAGGTGAATATCGTTATTTTAATATGCCAAATGTATTCATTCTGATTAAGAAATAATTTCAAGAATCTTTCTGTAGAGCACTGATAACCAAGTGAATTTAATAATGCCAGTGCTTTTTCACATAGTCTTGAAAATTAAATCAAGTAGCTAAAATTTGGTGACTTTTTTGGATCAAACATTTTTTCCCCTTTTGCTTTTCTGCTTAAAGACAAATATTCATCAACACTGACCAACTTTAAATAAACAGTAAAATTGATCTGAATGGCTTATGATCTAAAATGTTAACTTTTACAAATAGAGGTAATTTTCAAACAATACATATTCACTTTAGGACACTCACTGCAAAGGGTCTTAAGATTCAAACCTTGGAGTTCATTGATGAAACTGTTAGAAGTAGCCGAGAACCTACCACATGCTGGTAGTAATTACAGATGATTACACCAAGGCCTAAGTCTTAACTATCTGTAGTAAAAGATATAGAAAACTACCCGGAATCTGGGATTTTGAAATCTTAAAACTTTCTGGTTTACCATTTAGACCAGAATATGTAAGAGTTGAAAACCTCAAAATTTCTCCTGCAGAAAATTACCCAACCTTTGGAAACATACCTATGTAGGAAAGGACAATTTACATGAAATCAACAAAGTAACATATACTGCTGAATGGAGTTACAGAAATGATCTTTTATTACCTGAGCAACATCCTCAAGTTTATTCCACTTGATTGACAGCAGTAATTTTGGCAATGACTGTGGGAAATTCTCTCTGCAGTCTTGTCGCAAAGTCCAAATAAGATCCATTTCATTCTCACACAGTTGAGACAACGGATCCCTGTCCAAGATTTCTTTCAGTACAGCAAGAAACTTCTTTCCACCTCGACTCTAAGAAAGTAAAATTACTCATTACAGAACAAAACTGTGTGAACATCACGGGCAGGCCTTGAACACAGGGGTTAAAGGCACCAACCCCCAAGCAGTAGAAAATCCCTAAATTCATAGATTCAACCAACCACGGTTCACGTAGTACTGCAGTACTTGTTTATTGAAAAAAATCCACTTGTAAGTGGATCTGCACACTTCAAACCCATGTTGTTCAAGGGTTAACTACACAATGAATTTTTCAACAATTTATGAGCTTTAAAATTTGAGATATTAACAATCTAATTCCATAAAAAGCTGGATACCCCTTTTAAAGTTTTTACTAAGCTGAATATTAAATTAGTAAGCTAAGGATGAAGGAAAAAATTATTCTCAGTTTTTTAAAGGAAAAAAGAATACTGTTAAAAAATCTGTATGCAAACACTAGGTGGCAGAATTGTAATTTGGATTAAAAAGAAGTCATTATTTGACTTTCTCATCTTCCTTTTTTAATTTTTAATTTCTATAAAGAAAAAAACAAACAAAATCAAAGATGAACCAAATTTATAGTTTTAAAAAAAGTTAATAGGTGCCTTCTTGGCTCTGAGGCATTAAAACATTTAGAGTAAGGACTGAAACTTGGCTAAAAGTAAACATAAAAAAAATACAGTTATCCCATTTTCTTTCCCAATCCTTATAAGAATATATTAAAATAAAGAAAATGGACCATACTATTTTTTGGATCCAGACTCTGAATTACACTAACATTAAAAGAAAAAGGGGGGCTTCCCTGGTGGTGCAGTGGTGAAGAATCCGTCTAGCAATGCAGGGGACACTGGTTCGAGCCCTGGTCTGGGAAGATCCCACATGCCGTGGAGCAACAAAGCCCGTGCGCCACAACTACTAAGCCTGCACTCTAGAGTCCGCGAGCCACAACTACTGAGCCTGTGTGCCACAACTACTGAAGCCTGCGTGCCTAGAGCCTGTGCTCCACAACAAGAGAAGCCACTGCAATGAGAAGCCAGCACACCGCAATGAAGAGAAGCCCCTGCTTGCTGCAACTAGAGAAAGCCCGCACGCAGCAATGAAGACCCAATGCAGCCAAAAATAAATAAAGAAATTTATTAAATAAAGAAAAGGAAAAGAAAAAGGTACATTTCCCCATACTTAAAGAAAAACTAAACCATTTAGGCGAAAGCATATCCCTTCCTTATCCCCCACCCCCACAAAAAAATCTCCAGAATTATCTGACAAGATTCTGTAAGGATTTATGTTCCATTAGCATATTATTTTGTACTTGAAATTATTTTAACTGGGATTTCATATAAACATTAAAATAAATAAAAGTCATATCACTAATTTTCTGAAGTAGTGAGATTCAAAATAGTATATGCATATGTAAAAATAATTAGGATGACATGATTGTCTATGTAGAAAATCTGAAAGAATCAACAAAACCACCATTGGAACTAATAAGCAATTACAGCAATTGTGGGATACAAGGTCAATATATAAAAGTAAATCCTTTTCTTATGTATTAGCAATAAATAAGCGGAATTTGAAATTAAAAATGCAATAACATTTACATTAGCACCCCAAAACAAGGAAACAGGTAAGAAATTAACAACATAATTACAAGATCTATATGAGAAAACTACAGAACTCTTACGAAAGTAATCAAGTAATTAAACAAATGGAGATATATTCCATGTCCACGGATAAGAACATTGTCAATATTCTTATCCATGAACTGACAATCACAATATTGTCAGTTCTTCCCAACTTAATATCAACAGATTCAATTTAAACCCAATTTAAATCCCAGTAAGTTATTATGTGGATATCAACAAACTGATTCTAAAATTATATGGAAAGGCAAAAGACCCAAAATAGTCAACACAGTATGGAAGAAGAAAGACCAATGTTGAGGGACTTCCCTGGTGGCGGTTTCACATTTCCTTATTTTAAAACTTACTACAAGGACCTCCCTGGTGGTTCAATGGAAGAATCCGCCTGCCAATGCAGGGGACACGGGTTCGAGCCCTGGTCCGGGAAGATCTCACATGCCACGGAGCAAGTAAGCCTGTGCGCCACAACTACTGAGCCTGCACCCTGGAGCCCGTGAGCCACAACTACTGATGCCCGCACGCCTAGAGCCCATGCTCTGCAACAAGAGAAGCCACCGCAATGAGAAGCCTGCACACTACAAGGATGAGTAGCCCCCACTCGCCACAACTGGAGAAAGCCCGCACGCAGCAAAGAAGACCCAACACAGCCAAGAATAAATAAATAAAATTTATTAAAAAACAACAACAACAACAACAACAGGGCTTCCCTGGTGGCGCAGTGTTGAGAGTCTGCCTGCCGATGCAGGTTACGTGGGTTTGTGCCCTGGTCTGGGAGGATCCCACATGCCGCGGAGCGGCTGGGCCCTTGAGCCATGGCCGCTGAGCCTGCGCTCTGCAACGGGAGAGGCCACAACAGTGAGAGGCCCGTGTACCGCAAAAAAAAAAAAAAAAAACAACGCTGAAGGACCGATACTACCTGACTTAGATAAAAATAAACGTGAAAAGCAAAACTATAAAACTCCTAGAAGAACACAGGAGAAAATCTAGATGACCTTGGGTTTGGCAATAACTTTTAACCTGTAACACCAAATGCATAATCCGTCACTGAAAGAATTGATACCTTGGACTTCATTAAATTTAAAATTATCTGCTCTGCAAAAGACGCTGTCAAGAGAATGAAACGATAAGGCACAGACTGGGAGAAAATATTTGCAAAAAGACATACCTGATAAAGGACTGTTATCCAAAATATACAAAGAACTCTTACAACTCAACAACAATAAAACAACCAGACAAAAAAATATGGATCAAAGACCTGAACAGACACCTCATCCAATAAGATATACGGTTGGCAAAAAATATATATATAAAATGATGCTTAATATCATATGTCAGCAGGGAAATGCAAATTAAAACAAAAATGAAATATGACTGCATACCTATTAGAATGGCCCAAATCCAGAACACTGACAACATCAAATGCTACTAAGGATGTGGAGCAACTCTTATTCATTGCTGGCGGAAATGCAAAATACTACAATCCCTTAGGAAGACAATTTGGCGATTTCTTACAAAACTAAACATACTCTTACCATACAATCCAGTAATCATGTCCCTTGGCTATTTACCAAAAGGAGTTGAAAACTTATGCCCACACAAAAACCTGTAAACGGATGTTTATTTGGCTTTATTCAAAATTGCCAAAACTTGGAAGCAACCAAGATGTCCTTCAGTAGGTGAATGGATAAACTGTAATACATACAGACAATGGAATATTACTTAGCACTAAAAGAAATGAGCTATCATCCCACAAAAAGACATGTAGGAACCTTAAATGCATATGACTAAGTGAAAGAAGTCAATCTGAAAAGGCTACAGGTAAAATGATGCTGACTACAACATTCTGGAAAAAGGCAAAACTATGGAGACAATAAAAAGATCAGTGGTTGCCAGGGATAGAAGGTAGGGTGAGGGAATGAATAGGCAGAGCACAGATTTGCAAGGCAGAGAAACTACTTGGTATGATATTATAATGATGGATATATGTCATTATACATGTGCCCAAACCCACAGAATGCACAACAGCAAGAATGAAACCTAAGGTAAACTATGGACATTTGAGTGTTATGATGTATTAATGTAGATTCATCCTTAGTAATAAACATACCATTCTGGTAAGTGATGTTGATAATGAGGGAGGCTATACATGTGCAGGGGCACGGATATATGGCAAATCTTTGTACAGTCCTCCCAATTTTGTTGTGAGTCTAAAATGCTCTTAGCAAAAATAAAGTCTTACACACACACACACACACACACACACTCTCACACACACACATACTCTCTCTATGTATGATTACAGTTTTATATTCAGAGCCTCAATCTAAAAAGGTATGCTTTATTTTACAAAATTGACTGAGTTTCTTTTTTCTTTGCAAAATGATCATGAGAAGTTATCAGAATTTGAAAATGTAACTCCTACACTTACATATAAAAGTGAAACCCGTTACTGCAAACAACAAAAAGTATAAATTGTTCATGCCGGAGAAAGGCAGACTGCTGTCAGGTTAAATAGCACAAAACCTAGCAGACTACTGTAATTTCATGGATCAAAATTAGATGCTACAGACCTACTGTAAGTAAATATCCTGAAGACCTAGGAATAAATGAAGAGGGAAGAGCAGGGGGTTAGCTGTATAATTGTAGTGTGATTGTTTACTGAGCTATGAAAAGCACAGCACTGGATAGAGCCAAAGTAAAAACAAACAACTACCAGAAATGTGGCAGTAAGCCAAAAAAACCCACAGAATCTTACATCCTTTTACAAAACTCAAAACAATCAGCAATGAAAAATTACACTGTAGTGCAACTGATGAACTTACACACATGTTAAAATGCTTGCATTAAAATAGTGGTAAAAAGCAATGAAAGTTAACACCTATATTCTCTGCTTTGTTTTTATGTTTAGATTTTTCGTAATTATATAGACATTATGATATAATAGTGATTACTAACCAAAATAAAACACAACATATATATCTTGCCATAGGCAAATGAAAAAAAAGACTATGGCTCTTTCCCATTCCTTACTGGGGTGGTGGGCCTGGAAAACTCATCTGTCATATTCAGAGGGGCTAGAAACTCAAAACAGCGTGTTAGCCATGTGCTTGTCAAGGATGGAATTAACTATGTGTTGGCCAGACTGACCAACACACAACTGGGGATGAGACAGCCCATGTAGTCAGGGCTGGTGGGAAAGAGACTGAGAAGATGTTTATATGATTGGGAGATTGATTACAGAGGATTGAGCAAATAAGTAAATATGTTAAGGTTCATAGGAATCCAGACTTCTCACTGTCAGAAAAGGTAATTTAAAATATGTTAAGGCAGAGGCTAGAAAAAAATCCTGTGGTGGTGAATCCAAATTGGAGACATTGATAAGAACTCACAGTTTTT